CTGGATCCATTCACTCTGATTTATCACCCTAGGATTCCTTAGGAGTTCTTGGATGGCTAACATTGGTAATACTGCACAGCTCCTACACCACACTTTTTAAAAGCAGTCAGTCACTGCTTGTGGGAATAACCACTCTTTTAACCCAGAAAGCCTCATCATCCAAGTTTTCTGCTGGTGAAATAAGCAACGGACAGGGTGAAATCCATCTCCAGCCCACTGTGGAAGGCAGGGCCAGATCTTTCATCAGCCGTGCCTGGAAGAATCACACTGCCGCCCTGGAGCATCAGGCAGGCAGGGCGATGCAGGCATCGTAGGTCCAGTCCCCCGGGAATAATCCATGCCTGGATACGCACACATGCAGCCTGAGCATCTCTGTTTCAAAGCACTCCGGACCTCCTTGCTACTTACTCGTCAGCCTGCCTGGCCCCTTCCACACCCGTGCACGCTGCTGTTTCCTCATTGCAGGTGGACGTGGCTCCTTGCCTCACACCCAATCCAGGCATCTGATTTTGCGCCACCCTGAAACACAAGACAAGCCATGAATAAATGCACAGCAGGACTCTGCCCTCTCCACTCATTGCTTTTGAAAACACACCTCCCACTTGACTGCTGCTGATGATAAAGTCCACCCCTCTGCTCTCCAATGCTTATCTCTAACCAACTGCTTTGTACTCGGAAAGCCACCTCCTTCAAAGGAGGGGGGTGTTTTTTCACACAGTAGCCTTTGCCCATCACATACTGTCAAGCCCGTGAACACCAAGCCTTACAAAGTTATAGTAAAGGTAACCAACACCAAGCCTTACAAAGTTATAGTAAAGGTAACCCTGAAAGCACAGTTACCCCCTTCCCTCCACCTCCCTGCTCCTGGGGCACATGCTTTGGCACCCACTCACTAGATTGCTAAAAGCTGACAGCACAGCAGAGCTGGACGTTGATCTTGATTCATGCAGCTTCTGTTAAGGTCTCAATTATGTTCCCAAACTGTGGCTCTGATTAGACTCATGCTGCAGCCTTTACTAACTGAAGTCGCACAGGTGAGCTGGCAGTCTGATGCGATTGCTCAGCTATTAATGAAATCTCTTTGTTAGTCACCAACTGTCCTTTGCCTATAGGGTCTTTGTCACTTAAGCCCAATAGAATGGCTTCTTAAACCACGGGAGTTTGCAAGACTAGCGCATAAACTAGCAATCGTTTATGCTGAATGGGGTAAACCCAGCACAGAAGGGGGATCGTGTCAATCTGAGTCCCATTTTGTGGCAGAGCTAGTCTTTGAAGATATGAAGCTCCTCCCACTCAGCACATCAAAGCTTTCCATCTGAGAGGAGCTTCCCAACTTCAGACACACCAAACATACGCTAAGCTTCCCAATCAGAGAGCAGCAAGCTGGTAATAAATTGCCAGCTTTGGTTTTTTACAAGCCTCTGGACAAAGACCCAATCCTAGAGCAAGGGTGGCATCCCAGCTCAAACCACCCAAGAGGCTTTCATGCAATTAAAAAAGTGTTCTTGGGCAAAGTAAATGAAAAAAACAGCAGAACATTGCTAACTTAAGCTAACGGCCAGAACATCCTTTGTATCACAGCACTTTCTGAAGCAGTGAGAAAGAAAACTTGTATAATTGAAAAAACCCACACCGAAGAGTTCATGACACAAAATGCACTTTTTTCTACTGTGACAAGTGCCATTTGACTTAAATAGTTTATATATAACTCCACAGTGAGAAGAATGACTTGCACGCTTTTAACAAGTAATGAGACAACCCCAATTGCTACTAAATCTTGTTAAAGCTAGAATTTCTCATGACTACATTTACTGCCAGTAGTACCAGATGGCAGGTTAGCAGGGTGGGTTTTACAAGAAAAAACCCAAATTAACCATACAATTTTCTTCAGCTTAAGTTTCCCCATGAAAGTGAGAATTGTTGGCCCTTCAGGGAAAAAAAATATTGACTTTGGAAACTGAGTCACACTAAAAAACATTAAAAGTTGAATTCTCAGTTTAGCTAAATTAATATCCCTCATCCCCAACGTGAGACTATTTAAGCAAACAAAGCTTGTTTTTTTATGAATAAAAAAAAGCAAAATATATTAAGATATCAACTTAACCTATTCTAGCAAAAATATTTAGTGGTAATATATCAAAACAAGCTACCAAACCACTTTTTTTTTCAGCGTACATGAAAACACATTTATTAAATTGTCTGCTTTCAAAAACAAAAACCATAGAAACAAAAAATAATAGTTTCACCTCAAAAACTTCTAGGATTACCCAAGAATGTTGTTTCCTGGCCTATACATCCCCAGTCAGAGGTATAACCCCCACACCTGAAGAAAATAATGGCACCTAGCCCCTTATATAGCCTCAGTGCTGGGCAAGACCTGCTTAAAAGGAGGCTGGGAAAGGCTTTGGTTTTATCACACATAGTGGTTTTCTTTTGAGGTTAGTGTTCCACTGGGGCTTACCTCAAG